GCCCCACACGCAGGGCGAGCGCGACGTCCCCGCTCACCCGGAGGGCGCCACGTAGAACAAGGGTGACTAGTCGCCGCCCCTGCGCGAGGGCTCACGCCCGGCCTCTCTCCCCAGATGGTACCTGAAGATGCTGCAGTGCTACAGCTGCCGGCAGTGGTTCCACGAGGCCTGCACGCAGTGCCTTAGCGACCCCATGATGTTCGGAGACCGGTACGTCCTTCCCTGGCTGTTTGGCGCCGTGCGCCCCGGAGGGTTGGGCGAGAGTTGTGCCTGGGTGGTGTGTGTGCGGACAAAGCCCCCTGTTGTGTCTTCTCTAGCTGGGGGGAGGGACGGTAGCTGGGAGAGGGCCCCTCAAACCCTTCTTACCCTCCTGCCCAGGGCAGGGAGACGCGCTTGGCTGAGAGGATCACGGTGCTCCGGCAGCCTGGGCCATGCCACGCCAGGGCAGAGGCAGGCAGACGAGCCCCTAGTAGCTCCCCCCGCCCCGGGGTCCTGGTGGTGCACATCACAACCATGCGCGGTGGGCAGAGGAGAGTGCCACGATGGCTGGGAGGCAGCCTAGCAGGCAAAGGGGACGCGTCGGTTCCTCTCTCGTGGGCCCCTCTCTCCCCCAGCTCTGGCTGACCCGAAGGTCTGAATCGCTGGAAGGAAGGGAGCCGGGGCAGGACCCCGGAAGAGGCTGGAGGAGGGAGGGAACCCTGCAAGCTTTGCCCAGGGGAGCCGAGTGCCGTGGTTTGCCAGGAGAACCCAGCCTGGCCTGCCCGGGGGGTGGATTCTAGCCCCCCGCTGCGAGCGGAGACTCCTGCCGCAGCGCCGAGCCCCGCTGCCCCTCGGGGAGGGTGGGCTGGGGGCTGCCCCTCCCCAAGCCAGACCCTCGGGTTGTGAGAGGCTCCCCCGCCCATCCCCCGCCTCACCCTGCCTCTCTCTCCCTAGGTTCTATGTCTTCTTCTGCACGGTGTGTAACCAGGGCCCCGAGTACATCAAGCGCCTGCCCTTGCGCTGGTAAGAGTCAGCTCTGAGCCGCCTTGGGGCCAAGGGCTCGGGGCTCCCCGCGGGCGGCGTGAAACCCGCTGTCCTGGGCTGCCGGCCTCTGCCGGGGTGCTCTCCGGCGCTCCTGGAGCTGCCGGGTCTCCAAAGCGTCTCCATGTGGCCCCGGGCCGTGATGGTCCCTTGGTAGCCAAGCAGCTGTCCCCGCTGCAGCCGGGCGAGGGCATCGCCTTGGTGTGGGGCTGCTGCAGACAAGGGGGGCTCGGCTTTGGGGGCGGGGGGAGTGGAGTACGTAGCAGCAAGGCTAGGAACCGCTGCTCAGGTCTGAGATTCCCCACCCCTGCTTTCTGTAACTGGGGACATGGAAAGGCAGCCAGGACCTATTGGTACGTGACTAGGAGCCTCTGCGGCCAGCCGTCCCCCTTCTGCGCTTTGGTTCTGACGTTCGATCAGCCGGGAACGCCCCTCTCCTCCACCTTCCCTGTAGCATGTGGCTGAACCGGCCCAAAAGCCAGAACACGAGGCCTGAATCCTGGCCCTGCAGGTTAGCGACCCGGCAGGACTCGGACGTTTCAGCACGGGGCAAATCTGAAGGGTTTGGCCAGGAAGGGCTGCCTCACGGCCCCTTACTTCTGTTTTCTGGCTCCCCTTGGACGGCTTTAAACCGGCCCTTTGGCTGGTCCTCGAATCCACGGCTGTGCTTGTGCACAGTCGTACACTTGTGCTTGTGCACGTACAGTCGACCCGCTAGGACTCTCCAGACCCGCCCAGCATCTACAGTGGGGATCTCTGTCCGTCGCCCAGCCAGCGGCCCATGCTGCAGATCAGCACAGTCGAGTCTCCCGACGTTCTCCGGAGTCCAGGGTGCAGCCCCGGGTTTCCGTTTCCGTCTAGCGGGCAGTAGGGATGTCCGATCCCGTTGGAAACACGAACCGGTTAAACATTCAGTCCACCAGGATCCCGTGGGCAGGCCCAGTAGGGCTGGTGCATCCCCTGACCCGTGGCGAGGCATGGTGGGCCCGGCTGGGGTGGCTGCCCCCCGCCCTCTCCGGCCAGGCTGGACTGGGCAAAAGGGGGTTCTCTAACTAAACAGAGCCTGCTTCGGCCAGGCCAGGCCCATCACACTGTGGGCAGGGGAGTGGGGGCTGCTCTGGCCAGGCTGGGCTGCTGGTTAACTGCTTACCTGGTAGGGGGTGATACTTACCAGGTAACTGGTTAACCCTTTACCTCGCTAACAGGCAGGTCAGGGAGAGGCCATATCTGCTGCAGCTGCAGGAAGGACAGGCGCTTGGCTGTCAGCCGGGTAGGACTCCCTTGGGCTCTGAGGTCTGCTGGGTGGGTCGCGTGGCGTAGGAGCAGAGACTGGCCGGAGTGGGGAGAAGGCCGCTGTCACGGCGGTGGCCACGCCGGCGCCAGAGGAGAGGGCCGCTGCCACGGCGGTGGCCACGCGGGCGCCAGAGGAGAAGGCCCCTGCCACGGCGGTGGCCACGCGGGCGCCAGAGGAGAAGGCCCCTGCCACGGCGGTGGCCACGCGGGCGCCAGAGGAGAAGGCCCCTGCCACGGCGGTGGCCACGCGGGCGCCAGAGGAGAAGGCCCCTGCCACGGCGGTGGCCACGCGGGCGCCAGAGGAGAAGGCCCCTGCCACGGCGGTGGCCACGCGGGCGCCAGAGGAGAAGGCCCCTGCCACGGCGGTGGCCACGCGGGCGCCAGAGGAGAAGGCCCCTGCCACGGCGGTGGCCACGCGGGCGCCAGAGGAGAAGGCCCCTGCCACGGCGGTGGCCACGCGGGCGCCAGAGGAGAAGGCCCCTGCCACGGCGGTGGCCACGCGGGCGCCAGAGGAGAAGGCCCCTGCCACGGCGGTGGCCACGCGGGCGCCAGAGGAGAAGGCCCCTGCCACGGCGGTGGCCACGCGGGCGCCAGAGGAGAAGGCCGGCGCCAGAAGCTCAGGGTTGCAAACCTGCCGCACGTGCAAGAGGCTCTGAAAGCTGCCCCTGGCCTGCTTGGGACCTGCAGCGTCTCACCGGCGTCTGTTCCCTTGGCTCCCACAGGGTTGACGTTGTCCACCTGGCCCTCTACAACCTGGGCGTGCAGAGCAAGAAGAAGTACTTTGACTTTGAGGAGATCCTGGCCTTCGTGAACCACCACTGGGATCCTTTGCAGCTCGGGAAGGTAAATGCAGGGGACCCGGGTCCGACCTGGGATGGCAGCTAGGACAGCAGGGGGT